CACAGAGTCCCAAGGTGGCACAGGCCATCACATGGTGAAAGAACAAGAACATGCTAATGTCGCTTTCTTCTCTTAAAAAGCCACTAGTGCCACCCCATGATAACTCATCAATCCGTTAGCCCATTAACCCATTAACCCACTCATGAGGGCAGAGCCCTCATGATCCAATCGCCTCTTAAAGGCTCCACCCTTCAAATACCATAGTCGGATTTCCCACCCTCTTAACACTGCTACCTTGGGGAATAAGTTTCAACATGAGTTTTGGAGGAGGATATTCAAACCATAGCAGGGAGCAGAGGAGTTTGGAGCAAGACGATCTTCCTAGCTTGAGACCTTGGAGAAGTCACTCTCTGAGACTGTTTTCCTATCTCTAAAGTGCATAATCTCTACCACAATGACAGGGGCAACCTCACGGGGGTGTTAAACAAGGATGAAATGAGTATGGCATGCTCAGCGTGTCCCTCCTCACTGGCTGCACTGGGTACCAAGGTAGTTGCTTCATCCTCCACCCTGACTTAACCTCCACCCCCCTTTCCTGAAACGGAGGTTCCCTGCGGTCAGCATGTGGTGGTGGGGTAAGCACAAGGGAAGTGAGAAAGGGAAGTGGTAGGAGCCTGGGGAGGGATTCAGAAGGAGCAAGATTGAAGCTATCAATTGCCCCAGGGGTCCAGCTGAGGATACCTCTAGGGCCTGGGGCAGGGGTGATTAGGAGGGAAGCAGCTCGAACAAATTCCATCAGAGTATCCTTCGGCAGGTAACATCCCCTGTCCCAGAGCCTATTTCCTCCTCTGTAAAATGTGTTCATGGACAGCACCTGCAGCGTAGGTAGGGTTTGTTTTGAAGATTGGGAGATTTTTTTTTTTTTTAAAGATCACTGGTAAGGGGATCTTAACTCTTGACTTGGTGTTGTCAGCACTACGCTCTGCAAGTGAGCTAACCGGCCATCCCTATATAGGGATCCGAAACCCGTGGCCTTGGTGTTACCAGCACCACACTCTCCCAAGTGAGCCTCGGGCTGGCCCCGGGAGTTAAGAATTTTAAAAGTCCTTAGAACCAAGCATGGCCCACAGTAGGTGCTCTGTGTTTGTTGAATAGATCTATTCAACATTTATTGTGCACCTGTTCGATGCCAGATGTGGTTCTTGGCATTAGATGGAGCAGAGAGCATGACAGACAAAAATCCTGGCCCTCGAGGGACTCAAACTCTAAAAGAGGAGACAGACAATAAATGCCACCTCCCTCACAGAGGCCTTCCCCAGCTACCTTTCTTGTATGATATCCTTGTCACTCTGTAGCCCAGTGGCTCTCAAATCTTGATGTGCATTAGAATGACCCAAACGGCTTGTTAAAATGCAGATTGCTGGGATCCACCTCAGTTTCTGATCCAGTAGGTGTGAAGTAGGGCTCAAGAATGTGCATTTCTTTCTCCCCCCCACCCCCCCAGTTAAGGGAATCCAAACCCTTGACCTTAATCTTAGTGTTACAACACCAAGTTCTAAGCAACTGAGCTAACTGGTCAGCCTGTAAGAATGTGCAAGCTCCCAGGTGACAGTGATACAACTGGCCCAGGGACCACACTATGAGAACTACCATTCTAGTCCCTGACCCCTCTTTTGCTTTGTGTCTCATCTAGAGAAAACGATTCTACATGCTCCATATTTTATTATTAATAATGAATTCCTCTTCAGCCCATTTCCCATGCAGGTAAAACTGAGCTCCACAGATCTGCTATTTTTTTTTTTTTTTATAAACCCTAATGAAACTTCAAAGCCCGCTTAAAAACAGGAATCTTCTTTAACAAAAAGGAGCCTAAGAAAGATAGGAAGGCAATGAATGCTTCATTTGCTCTGCATTCAGGCAGAGAGAATTACCATTCTGCAAATTAAAACAGGATAAAATAATTTGGTCAGGTGTTAAAGCACAAGTTCTTCAAGAATACTGGTCTTGTTTTGTGGGCGATAAGATGTGTATTAAAATTTGTATCCATTACAGAAGTACTCTGTTCTCTGATAACATAAGCGTGCCCGTGAAAGCGTGCTTGAACAAAGGGGCCTTATTAAGATCCTAAGACTTCAAACATCACAAACTCCCCAAGAAACCTGCAGTTCTGGCTGGCTGCTTTATTGAATCACCTGTTGCCCTGGTATTAATGTTATAGTCAATATTTCCTTTGCTCCTAAACTGCATAAATACTGGTAGGATTCCCCATGGAAGAGGACTGTTGGCCCTTTCATCTTCTACCACACGTGTAGGCAATAAAATGACTCTGCAAATTCCTTATTTAAACAAAGAGTGAGAGGGAGTCTTATTTATTACATCACTACTTGATATTATGTATTTGTCTGTTTCTTCTTGGTCTCCCTCACTAAATATCAGCTCCGCAAGGGCAGGGACTTTTCTTGTTAATTGCTAGGTCTGCAGGGCATTAGATGGTCACCAGCAAACAGTAGGTGCTCAATAAATACGTGTTGAATGAATCAGTAAGTGAAATAAACAAAACCTTAGAAATTCTGTAAGTGCTAAGAGGAACAGCCTGAGTTGGAGGTAAAAATTTGGGCATCACCCGGCAATAAGTAGTATTTCAAGTCCTGGGTCTGGAAACCACCTAGAGAGGGTGCAACAGAAGAGAGGGGAACCCCAGGCACAGCCCTGGGGAACTGAGCATTTCAAGTTTTGCAGAACTGGGAGAAGCTGACCCAGGGGACTGAGGAGGAGGGGCCTGTGTTTTCTCCTAGGCCTGGCACATTCAATCCATGGTCTCTCATACACTGTCTCATTTGGTCTCATTTTCTCTCACTTTTTTTTTTTTTTTTACCTACACACACAGTTCTGGATTTACAGCTTCTACTATGGTCTCTGACGAACATGCTTACATACACAGTCGATCACACAGTCTTTCAGACATTCTGTCACTCGTTCACTCACTCATGGAGTCAGTTTCTCTGTCATTGATCCCCAGCTAGACTACAGTCTCCTCCTAACACTTTCAATCATGTTTTCTGGCCTGTTTCATTCAGTCAGTATCGCCACTGTTTTCCCTCACCAGTTTTTCACATACACACAAACAGCCACACCACCTCATAAACTGGTTCAGCACTCATTTGGCCTGTTATTTTTTCACATGCAGATAGTCACTGACTTATTGTCACCACTAACCAGTCTCTCATGAAGTGTCACACTATCCCTTCTCACTCGAGCCACTTTTTCACACACCCACAGTCCTTGATTTTAGCCTCCCCCAGTCTCCTATGAAGAGCTTCAGGTGCATACACAATCACACAGCATCTTGGACACTGTCTTCGTCACCTAGACTCACGTTTCTTCTCAATCAGCTTCCAACACATGCAGTCCTTGATTTACAGCCTTTCATAGAGTCTCTTGTGAAGGGTGTTATACATATACACATAATCAGTTTCTCAGACACCATCTCAGTCACCCATTCAGTGTCACCATCATTTTCCCCAGCCTGCTTCTGCTATATGTGGTCACTAAGTCACAATTGCCACTGGGCTCTTGATAAGTCTCAATCAGTCAGTCTGTCATGCCCCACCTCGATGGTGCACACTATCACTTCCTTCACACGGTCAGCATACCATGTGCATATACCCCTCCATCACATGGCCACTCTGTGTCTCCTCCACTCAGGCTCATTTTCTTGGCTTTTTCACAAATGCATCATCCCTGCCTTGCAGTCCTGCATGAGCTGCTTCACAGACCTACACGCTCTCACCGCCGCTCACTGTCAAGTCTCTCCCATAGTTGCTGCCTTCCAGCTCCCGCTGCTTCTCGTCTCTCCCTCACACAGTTACGTGGCCCCCACTGTTTCACCGTCTCACCAGAACCTGTGGGACAGGCTGTGGTAGTAACTGTAAACCAATTTGCCACTAGCCCCAGTCACACAAAGATGCCACAAGTACGGCCTTGCACACTCTCCCAGTCACAGCCACTCTTTCCCGTTTCTCACAGTCCTTACTACGGTCTCTCATGAACCATTTCCACACTCACAGTGACGCATTCTCCTATCTTGGGTCTTGGTCATCAGTTTGGCCTCTCAGCCACTTTCTTTCACACAGTTGGCCTTCCATATCCACGGGTTCTGCATCCTTGGAGTCAACCCACCTTGGAGTGAAAGTATTTGGGAAAAAAAAAACAATTAAGAAATAACAATAATGAAAAATAATACAAATTTAAAATAATACATTATAACAACTATTTACATTATATTAGGTATTATGAGTAATCTAGAGAAGATTTAAGGTATACATGAATGAGTGTAGGTTATGTGCAAATACTATACCGCTTTCTATCAGGGACTAGAGCATCTACAGATTTTGGTATCCACGGGGGTCCTGGAACCAGTCCCCCATGGATGCCTAGGGGCCACTGTACAATCAACTTCTCACGTATACACTCCCTGACTTTAGTTGACACTACAACCTTGCATAAACGGGTTCACACACAACCCGTTTCTCAAAACACTGAGTTGCCTGCTTACACAGTGAGGTTTGTCAACTACACATGGCCCCTGTCAATCTCTACTACAGTTTCTTGCCCACATAGTCTCTTGCATGTAGTTCTGGTCACTCAGTCTGTCTCACTTGCCAACAGCCTGTCAAACAGTGACTGATTTGCAGTCCTCATTCCCTTCTCATAAACACTATTTTGTACAATACCATTGCAGGTTCTTGTACAGTAACTGAATCACACATTCATTCAGTCTTAGTGATTTTCTGAAACAGTCACAATTTCTCACATACACATCCTGTTAAAAGTTTGTGGTCACAACCTCTGTACTTTCTCACTCACATACAATCGCTGCTTTCCACAATTTCTCTCACACACATGGTCACAAATATGCAGTCTCTACTACTGTTTCTGACACATGCCATCACGCGATTTCTCTCACAATCTCTGCCTCACACCCTTCTTTCAAAGTCATGCCTTCACACTCAAATAGTCCTGACGACACCAGGGGAAAAAAATGCCACCAGCCTCTAGCATCACCTTTAAAAATATATATTTACAGGAACAATTCCCCATTCTCTGGGACTCTTAGAAAAAAAGGTCCATTTTGGGGAAGTAAAACAAACAGTGGAGACGAGTGTAGCACCGTCCCCCAAATCACCAACCCCCAGGTCCCTAGGCCTGGGCTGGACCGGTGCTGACAGGAGGTGAGCACGGAAGTCTTTTGAACCCCCCCTCTCCAGCCTGGAATTGAGATAGAACAGGCTTTATGTCCCGCATTCCTCCCTCCCAACTCCGGGACACTTAAAGGGTCCTTTGTACCCGCCTGCAGGAAATTGGGGGGCTGGGAGGGAGCTGAAAATACACGTTTGGTATCAAAAATAAACACTTGGGGGCGGAAGGAAGATTCCTCCCCAAATCCCTTTCTTCCCACCACCCCATCAGATACAGGAAGAGATGTCCGCCTCTCCCCTATTGAAAAGCCCCATTTAAAAATAGATTATACTATCAAAATGGCAGGGGGTGAGGGACAGGAAGACCTGGAGTACTGGCTGGAGGGGCCCCCCAGACGGGGACCACCCCCCAAAAAAACCCTCCATTGGGAGGTAACAGGCAGAACCCCAGGAAGTTTGGCAGACAAAGGAATGGCTTCTCAGGGGGAGAAGGACAAAAGGGGCACTCCTCCCTGGCCAAAAAGTCAGCTGATAAAAGGGCAAGCTGTCTGAGAGAAAGGTCAGGGAGGGGGTAATTCCTATTCCAGGGGTTTGATTCTTCCTTGACCAAGACTCCCAAACCATTACATACTAGAAATTCTTCCTGGACTCTTAGCCAGGAATAACACCATGAAACAAACTAGCTCTTCTTCCCACATCCCAAAATGGAGACAGGGCTCCCTCATCTCCCCAAGGGCAGGCTGAGAAATAAATAAAGAAAGGTCCTTCTCAAGCCAGACCCTGATTGTCCTCGTCTTGGGGAAAAAAGGGGAGAGATGGGGGAGATGCCCTAACTACCCCCCCAAAAGGGTTGGGCCAGGCTCCTCCCAGCGGCCTTCAAAAAATAAATAAATAAACCGCCCCTACCACTGAAGTAGGAGACGTGTAAGGGCAGCCACTGGGGGACTGACAAAGAAGAGGGAAGTTGTGTGTTTTCAGTGGAGGAGTTATTGAGAGATCCTTCTTCCCGAGAATGCCCACCCACCACAACCACAGCATGAGTCTGTCAGTTGAACTGTGTTTCTCCTGGAGATGGCTGGCTGGAGAGAAGTTCAGGGCATGGATGGAGCAACCCCAGAAGTGGGTGGTGATGGCGGTGGTAGTCATGGCTTCTGGGGCCCTGGGGAGAGCACCACGGGGGTTGAGAGGCCATCCACGCTGATGGGAGGGATGTGCACCTGGGCGCTGCCACTGGATGGAAACTGGGGGCAGAAATAGGGAGAAGTCACGAATGGAGGCCATGCTAGAAGGGTCTCTCATCCTCTCCAAGACAGGAAGAGGGGATCCTACCTGGAAGGAGAGCTTGGCTGGGCTACGGGGTGCAATGGGACTCAGGGTGCTCCAGAAGTGAATGCTGGGGGGCAGCGAGCTGGGCGTCAGCAGCACCGGGGTCTGCGGGGAAGGGGTGGCCGGAGCTCAAGTGAGCCAAGGCAGGTATGGGAAGACAGAAGGAACTTGGTCCCAGCCCCACCACATATTTCCCACTCACTCCCACGGTCACTCCCCTAAAGTTCACAGACCTAGCCCATAACGACTAAGGCTATGCCCGGGACATCTCACAACTTCTACACAGATGCCTCCTTACAACTCTTGACAGCCTACTCCCAGTTGCTGAGACCTCATTGGGCCAGACCGCTCAAAAGTCTATATCTACATGCCACTCTCAAACCTCACAAGTCACCATCCCGACAGCTCAGGGTCAACCTCCACTCTTACGTTCCACCTGTATACCTCACAGGAAACCCAACAGGCAAATCCCATATCAAAAAGCCCTGCCCCAACCCAGAAACAGTTCCACAGAAAGTCTCTCTACCCTCAGTCCCGCCCACAAAAGTCCTCAGACCTGCCCGTCATTAACCAAACTCCACCCTTGTAGCCAAGCCTCAGCGCAGCCAATCCCACTAGAAGGCTCCACCCTCTCGGGACAACCACATCCGCCCTCGTCTAACTCCTGTCAGTCACCCGCAACGTGCCAATCCCACTCATCCTGGCTGCAGTCCCTGCCCCTTTTCAGGCACTCACCAATGTATGTGTAGGAAGCAGGGATGGCGTCAGCGCCGGCCCCGGTGCCTGCAGACCAGAGCCAGTCCCCGATCCTGGAGTCCGTTCGGGCCCCGGCCCACCCAACAGGCTCGGGCTGAGTGGAAGCTCCAGGTCCCGGGGCTTTCGACCCTTCTGTGGCTGGGTGATCTCAGTGCTGGAAGCTGCGAGGCCGTTCCCTTGCGCTGCACTCCCCATAACCACCGCGGGCAGCCGGGCCGGCATGCCCTCCCCGGGAGGGACTTCCGGCCCAGCCTTGGCTTCCGGCACAAACCCTGCCTCTGCAGCTTCCAACTCTTCCTTGGGCCCCTCCACTTTCACTTCTGGGGGCAGTGGCCGGCCCAAACCGGGCTCCACATTCAGCTCTTCTGATTTCGGATTTTGGGCCTCGGGCGGGGTCAGGATGACCTGGGAGAGGTGCGGGCACAGAGGGTGTGTGTGTGGATCGTTGGCATAGAGAAGCTTTCTCCTGTGGGCCACTCAGTGATTCCCCTGGGAAGGCGGGATTGGTACTAGGGGCATGAGTGCACATCAGGGCAAGTCCTCCAAAAGGACATGGGACTTCTTCAAGGAAGCGGGGCATGGGACCTGGGGTGAGACTTGATGGGGGGGCCTCTGGAGATACCACCTAATTCATTAAAACTGGTTCTCAAAAATTTACAGACCAGCAGCATCTGCCTCATTTGGAAACTCATTAAAAACGCACATTCTTGGGCCCCTCCCTAGGCCCCCATAATCAGAAACTCTGGGGGCAGGCCCCAGCAATCTGTGGCTTCATAAGCCTCCAGGTGATTCAGATGAGCACTAAAGTGTGAGAACCAGTGCATTAAACTAATACATTCAAGGAACCTACTACCTTTTGGGCTACTACTAATTACAGCAGTCATTCTCTCTCTTCCTTCTCAGGATCTACATAGCCTTCTTCTCCACCCCTTTCTCCCAGGAGACTTCTGTGTCCCTCCTTCCACCATTACTTCCTTTAACAGGACTTCTATGTCTCTTCTCCTACTAGCTCCCCGTCCCCCCAATTTGGGAGCTGTACATCCCTCTTCACCCCCTCCTCTTCCTGAATTCCCACATTCCAGTCCTTACCTGCAGAGGCAGACCGGCCTCCTCAGCCTCCAGGCAGGCTTCCAAGGGGCTTGGACTGGTGTTCCTGCTCCCTGAGGGGGGTGCTGCTGCTCCTGTAGGGGCAGTGCTGGGGAGTACAGAGGCAGGCCGAGGATGAGGGGGTGGCTGTGGCTGCAGGGACTGGATGGTGAAGGTGGAATAGAGGCCCGAGCGCATGTACTCGTTCCGGCTGCTGCGTGCCAAACCACCTGGGCCTGCCATTCCTGCACCCTTGGGCATGCCTGGCTTTCCAGAGGCAGCATCCCCGGGGGTGGCGTGTATAGAAGCAGGGGCCACATTTGCCACGGTGGAGGCGATGGACACCTCGGGCTGGGTCGGGCAGTCCTCAGTGGAGCACCCTGCAACCTCGGGGTAGGACACAAACTTGTAGACGAACTTCTGGCCGCTCACCTTGCGGATGATATTCTGGGAAGGGAGGAGATAGAATAGAGGGCCTCAGAGGCAAGATGCTGGGTGGAAGGAAGGTGTTTTGGGGAGAGAAGGGGGCTTCTCTTCTAGTGTCTTTCTTCCCATTTGCCCCCCTCCTGTCTTTTTACATAAGCATCTCCCTCCTCCATGTGTTCCCCCTCCCAGCCCATTTCATCTCTTTCTCACTTTGTGGGCTCCTCCCTTCTCCTCTGTCAGGCTCTCCCCTTCTCTCTTCCCCCTCCCCGGATTCCCCTCTCTCTATCCCTCCCTAGTTACTCTCCCCTCTCTGTTCTCCCCTCCACAATGCTTTTTTTACTCTATCGCCCTTCTCTCCCTTCCCTGTCTCCTTCCCATGCATCTCCCCCCAGGTCTCCCTCTGTCACTCTTCATCCCCCCATCTGTCTCATTCCCTCCCCCCCACTAGCTCCTCTTCACTATCGGGCCCATCCAGGGGAGTAGGTACAGGAGCAGGTTTTCCTCCTGGCTCCAAGAACCAGGGATTAACAGGATCAGGCTTTGGGGGTGGCTGCCAGGACACAGTTTTGGAGACTAGCTAATGCAATAAGGAAGGAAAATGAAGTAACCAATAAAAATGTTGGAAGAGACTAAATTAATGTAGATGAATGGGGTGATGAATTATTAATATAAAGGATTATTTAAAGCTGTTGGCATAGAAGTGGAACAGAGCAAGGTCACTACAGAGGACAGGGTGAGGAAGCCTCATTATTAATACTGTTGTGGAGGTTTATGCTAAAGCAATGAGAAAACAAAGTAACTGACAGCAGTTAGACAAGAACATTAAAATACTTGTATAAATATTGTGGGGGTGGGGAATCTCAATGCTGGCTTGGGTGGATCATAGATATTGTTTGGGTATTTCAGGATAGGTCTGGTCTGGAGGGTCTTAGGGATGTTCTGGTGGTTCCAGAGGACAAAGTGAGGTAGCCTCATTATTATTTTGAAGATTTGAGCTAAAGGAAGAAAATATGAAAATGGAATAAATGCCATAAACTATTAAGGGTGTGCAGCACAGGGCTAGGGCTCTTCCGGGAGGCAAGAGAAGTCTGGGGGCACTAGAGCATTCTGGGGAGGTCTTAATGCTAGTCAGGTATGTCACAGGGTGTGCTTATGTTTCTCAGAAAAGGAATGAAAAGGGATATTCATTAATATTGTTTTGGAGGTTTCAGCTAAAGAAATAAGGAAATGTAATAACTGGTATAAATATTGTGAGGGACAGGAAATCCAGCACTGGTCTGGAAGGTCTGAGAGGATAGAATGAAGAAAATTTAAAATTTTAGCTATAGGAAGATGAAATAAAACAATTGAAGTAAATATTGGTGTGGACCAGTGTTACTCCAGGAATCCAAGAGGATGGGGATATGGAGCTGGCATCATACATGTTGTTTCAAAGGTTCTAGCTAAAGGAATAAGAGACGAAAAGAAAAGAGTTGATAAAAAAAATGCTGGGGAGGCCCAGAGAATGAAGTAAGGAAATCTTAGTATAATATTGTCAAGGTTTTGATTCTAGGAATAAGAATGTGAAATATTCTGGAATAAGAGAAGATTATGAAATAACCAGGGGAGCCGAGCACTCGTCCAGGGGTTCAAGAGTACAGAATGAGGACCAATCATTATTAACAGTGTTTTCAAAGTTTTGGCTATAGGAATATGAAATATTGTGCAGGACATGGCGGGACAGCATTTGGGGATCTCAGAGTGGGGTGAGGAGGAGTCAGTATTCATATTGCAATGAAGGTTTTAGCCAAAACAGTTAAGACAAGAAAATAAAATAAGTGAGATAAATGTTTGGGGGCCCAACATTGGTCTGAGGGTATCAGAGGAAGGGCTAAGAAAAGATAATTTTAATATTGTTTTCGAAGTTATAGCTATAGCAATTAAGACAAGAAAATGAAATTTCTGATATAAATATCAGGGGGTCCCAGCCCTAGTCTTAGAGGCCATACCTTGTCATAGTAGTACCGCAAGGCCCGGCTAAGCTTGTCGTAATTCATGTTGGTCTTGTTCTTGCGCAGCCCCCACAGCCGGGCCACCTCCTCTGCATCCACCAACTTGAACTCACCACCATCCCGTGAGGTCCAGGAGATGATGTGGCCATTGCCTTGCTCTCTCAGCAGCTGCAGCAGAAACTGCCACAGCGTCACAGATGGGTCCATTGCTGGGGGAGCGCTCACGCCATCCCAGGGGTACCTGGAGGGCAGACAGCTTAGAGCTGAGAAGCTGTGGACATAGGAGGGAGCAGAGGTCAGTAGAAGGGGAATCTTGTCTTGTCCTCTTGCCTTTACCTCTGTTCCCCAAACCCCACCACCATTCCCTAAACATCCTCAGACTAACTTATAAGTTCCCCAGTCTAGCTTTGGATGCCTCTTCTAATGGGATGAAACTTTTGGGGATGCTGCAAATATATTTTGCATGTGGGACAAATGTGAATCTTTGGGGGCCAGAAGGCAGACTGTGGTAGACAGAATAATGTCACCCTTGTTTGTCCCAAAGATGTCCACATCCTAATCCCTAGAACCTGTGAATATGTTATGCCACATAGCAGAACTCTGCAGATGAAATTAAGGTTACAGACCTTAAGATAGGGAGATTATTCTGGATTAATCCAGTGAGCTTAATCAATCACACAAGCTCTTAAAAGCAGAAGAGGGAGGCAGAAAGGTAGCTTAGAGATGTGATGACAGAAGAGGCAGGAGAGACTCAGAGTGTGAGAGGGACTCGACCTGCCATTGCTAGCTTTGAAGATGGAGAAAGGGGTTCTGAGCCAAGGAATGTGGGCAGTCTCTTAAAGCTGGGAATGGCCCTAAGCTGACAGCCAGTAAGGAAACAGGGACCTCAGTCCTACAACCTCAAGGAATTGAATTCTGACAACCTGACTGAGCAAGAAACAGATTCTCCCAGAGTCCCCAGAAAGGAATACAACCCTGCAAACAGCTTGATTTTGAGACCTATAGAACTGTAAGACAATAAACGTGTTGTTTTAAGTAGCTAAATTTGTGACTTTTTACAACAGGAATAGTCCCCCTCACTTGAACGTTATCATCTGTATCTCCTACTATATCAAGTGTTGAGGAGGTTTCTTTTGCCAGACCCTTGCGAAAGCTGTTCACTCCACGCGGGCTCCCTTCCTCTGCCTAGCAGTCTTCCTCACCTTTCAAGTCCCAGCCCAAAGGTCCTTTCCTTTATGAAGCCTTCCTCAAACTGAATGCCTGCTCTCTTGCCCCTCTACCCCCCACTCCTCTGACTTGTTACTGTCCCTTTATGTTCTCCTTCTTGATGACTGCAAGAACATTTATTACGTGCTTAATACATGTCAGACACTGTTCTAAGCAGAGAGGCAATATGGCCTACTGGACAATGGCCAGGCTCCAGAGCTAGACTGCCAGGGTTTGAATCCTGGTTCTGCCACTTATTAGTGGTGTGACCTGGGGCATATTCTCTAATCTCTTTGCATCTTAATTTTCCCATCTGTAAAAATAGGGATAATGACATGCCCATCCGTCAAATAGGGTCAATAACAATACCTAGTTCATAGGACTACTGTGTGGATTAAATATAATATGTCTGGGGTATGATAAGCTCTAAATAAATGTTTATTTCTGATTTGCTCATAATTCCTTATCCATTACTCCAAAATCCAAAAAGCTCTAAAAATAGAAACCTTCTTTGTAACTCTTTTGGCAGCAAAACCTGATTTGAAACAAACAAAGCCTTTTCTGGTCTTTATTGATCCTCACTTAGTGTGAATGTTCATACATTTTGCTGCAGAAATATGAACGTGGCTGATTACAGAGCTTACTAAGGGTGTTATGTAACATACTCTCTGTGTACCATGTTACCTTTCTAAAACCTGAAAAATTCAAAATTCTGAAACACATCTGGCCCTAGGGGTTTTGGATTAGAGCATGTGAACCTGTACTGTTATTTTTATATGTACTAATTTATCCCTCATCACAATTCTAGGAAGTAGGTACTCTTATTATTACTAATTTATAGATAAGGAAGCTAAGGCGCAAAATGTCTAAGTAACTTCCACAGGCCACACAGCTCTAAGCAGCACAGCCAGCATTTGGACCCAGGCCATCAGGTTCCAGCCATCTAAGCTTTCAACCGTTAGGCTAAACTGCCCCTCACAATGACTGCTCCCTCTTGGCATATCCTTCAGAGAACAGGATCCTCCCCATCACCCCATAACTGCTCTCTTTTCTGAGAGCAAATTGGAAATATACAAGCGCTTCCTATTCTTTAAGGGAATGAACTTTAAATCAGAAGATTTTGAAGAACCTCCCTCTATTATTTATAGCTCGAGTCTAATCTGCAATGAAATATATAGTATGATTCTCTTCGGTCTGAGCTGGTTTGAAGTCGATTCAGCAGACACAATTTTAGGCAGTTATACAAATCACAAAGCCATGAAGGGTCAGGTTAGAGTCCTGTTGTCGGAGAGTTTATTTCCAAGGCTGGGTTGTTTTAGAGGCCCAAAGAGTTCAGTGTGACTCCTGGTGGCGAACACAGGCAATTTTACCAGTTCCTCTTTCAGCTGCAACAGAACCCATCAGCTAAGTGAAATCTGACAGTTGGCTTGCAGCCTCAACAGCATATAGGGTCTTGTATTTTGGTTATTATCACTTCTCCCACTTGACCCCGAATAAGATTTCTAGTGATCGGCATTACTCAGATATGTTTGGTTTTCTTCACTTCATTCATTTAGCAAGCATTTATTGAGTGCCTACTGTGGGGGAGGTGCTGGGGATACAGCCATGAACAAAACAAAAATCACTGCCCTACTGGAATTCACATGCTAGTGGGGAAGACAGACAAGAAACAATGCAAACAAGCAAAGAGTATGTCAGATGGTGATAAGGGCTATGGAAAAAAATCAAGCAGAGAAGGAGCTGTGACTTTTACAAGGGCATGTGGACCTGTATTGTTATTTCAGGGGAGGGTAGTCACTGAGGAGGTGACATTTGAGCAAAGACATAAAAGAGGTAAAGGAGTCGGGCTTGTGAGTATCTGGGAGCAGCGAGCCAGGCCAAGGGAGCAGCATGACAGGCTCTGAGGCTGGAGAGTGCCTGGCAGGTCAGAGAGAGAGAAAGGAGGCCAGCACAGGAGGAAGGGAGTCAGGAAGGGAAGGAAGAACAGGTGGGAACAGAGGGGCAACAGGTGCCAGACTCAATGAGGTTTTCTTGGGCACTGTCAGGACTTTGACTCTGAGTGAAATAGGAGCTGTGAGAGGGCTTTGAACAGAAGGGTGACAGGCTGTGACTTGGATTTTAACAGGATCCCTCTGGTTGTTGTGAGAACAGACTGTCGGGGCTACAGAGGGAACTGCAATGGTCCGAGCAAGAGAGGATGGTGGATGCAGTGGAACTGATGAGAGGTGGCTGGATTCTGGATAAAAGCTGAAGACAGAGAAAATGGGACTTGCTACAGATAGCATGGGTAAGTGGGGGTGAGAGAGAGGAGTCAAAGGTTATTCTAGGTTTGCAGCCTGATCACCTGGAAGGGTGGCGTTGCAATCAGCTGAGATGGGAGCACTGGGGAGAGTAGGTTTTGAGGGGAGATCTGGAGGCCAGTTTCGGAGATGATCAGTTTCAGAGGCCTGTTAGACACCTATGTGTATGCTGTGAATAATAATAATATCAATTTAAAAACAAACCAGTCATACAGCCTTGACTGTGTGCTGCACGCTATTTTAGTCATTTAACTCATTTAATCCTTAAACCAACAGTAAAGGGTGGGTATTACTATTTCTGCCACTTTACGGATGAGGCAATGGAGGTACAGAGAAGTTAAGTAACCTGCCCAAGGTCACACAGCTGGAAGTTGGCAGAGCTGGGATTCAAACACAGGTGGTTTGGCTCCAGTCAGATTCCTCACCACCTTACACTACCAGCTCTCTATGAAGAGAAACACAGAAGGGTAAGAGTTTAGAGGGTGATGGGGATGCTATTTTTACACAGGTGAGAAGGGAGGGCTTCCCTAAGGAGGTGATATTTGACCTGAAGGAGAAGGCAGTAAGCCATGCTGACATCTGTGTGAAGGGTGCTTCAGGCAGAGAGCACAGCCTGTACAAAGGCTCTGAGGTGGCCACCCTGAACTAGCCATGGTCCCCAGGAGCATTCCCGCCTCTGAAGATATGCTTGTGCTGTTCTTCCTGCCAGGACAGCCCTTCCCTCATTGTGCAATCGTCAAGTCCGGGTACCTCCCAGGCAAAATGAATTCTTCCTCTGCCTGATCCAATGCACTGAATAACTTGCCTGCCCTTGCGAATCTGCTCTTCTCTCTGGGTCTTCAGTCTCATACTCCTCTGCCTTGTTCTGGCTGCGTGACCTTAGCAAGTTATTCAACCACTCTGTGGCCTGTTTCCTCATCTATTAAAGAGGCATATTGTACTCTCAAAGTCAAATATTCTTGAAAACACACCTGCCCTCAAAGGCTTTTGTGAGGATTAGATGTGTCAGTATATAAGAAGGACTTAGAAAAGTATCTCTGGCACATAGCAAACCGTCAACAAATGTTAGCTACTAGCCAGTGTGTCATCCTCCTCCCCCAATCCTATGTATCACCATGGCCTATCCCATCTGGCTCCCACCACCTCTCCGACCTCGCCTTCTACCCCTCCCCCCACTCTGCTCCAGCCACACTGGCCTCCACCTCAGGGCCTCTGCACTGGTAGTTCCTTCTGCCTGCTACATTCTTCCCCTAGACATTAGGGCTTCCTCCTCACCTCATTCAGGTCTTAATTCAAGAGTCACCTTCCAAGTGTGGCCTGCCCTGTGCCTAAGATTTCAACCACCTCAATACTCTATTCCTACCTGCTCGACTTCATTTTTTCTGCTTAGCACTTGTCTAACATACTATCTAATTTTACTTATTTTGTTTTGTTTATATAGTCTGTCTCCCCCACTTTTAGTAAGTGTCTGCTCCACAGGGCAGGGATTTCTGCCTGTTTTGTTCTCTCTCATATCCCCAGAACCTAGAAGAGTACCTGGTACTCACTGGATGCTCAGTAAATGTTTGTTGAATAAACATCCCAGCTAACTAGCCTCTTAACTAGCTCTCATTTCCCTCCTTCTTCTCCATCTGTCCCCCATGCTAATGTCTAAAATTATATTTTTTTCCCATTTATTCATGCAACAGATTCTTACTGGGCACCTACTGTATACCAAGTACATTTTTAGGTGCTGGAGACATAGCAGTGAATAAGTAGACAAAAAATGTAAGTTCCCATGGGACTCCCATTCTCATTCCTTATGGGAAGAGACAGACAATAAACAACTATACAGTGTGTTAGATAGTGATGAAGGGCAAAGGGGCAATCAAAAGCAGGGAAGGGGCTTGAGCCCAGCTGGGTGTGCAGGTTCAGATGGTCAGGGAGGGGGTTGATTTTTTTTCCCCACGCAGCATTCTTAAAAACATTTTTTTATATGCATGTCTTTATATAGTGTATCCCAAGCACCACAGCGACAAACACATTCTTTACTGAAATAACACTATCCAGATGCACCAAATTAAAGCAGTTTTAGAAATATTTTAGGAGAGTGTATTGCATACACCACAATTTTGTGAACACATCTTTTCAAAGAAATAGCACAGTCCTTATTCACATAGGCAACTAGCATTCTTAGAAACAGCTTTTACACCTGTGCCTTTACTGAGTGTATTACATACATCACAGTTTTGTGAACACACCCTTTCAATAAAATAACACTCATTTGCATATAAACTGGCATTCTTAGAAACGTATTTTATACATGTGTCTTTACATAGTGTGTTCCATGTACCACAGTGTGGTGAACACATTCTTTAGGGGCTGACATTTGAACAGTCCTGGAAGGAACCATGCAGAGATCTGGGAGTAGTGTCCAGGGAAGAAAGAATAGCCTATGCCAAGGCCCTGCAGCTGGACCACACCTGCTGTGTTTCAGGAGCAGTGGGAAGGAGGCCAGTGTGGCTGGAGTACAGTGCGGGGGTTGGGGGGTTGGTGTAGGAGGTTAATGCCAGAGAGGTTACCTGTTTTAATTCACAGTTATTCTTTATTTACACTGGAGGAGATTCTAGTTCTGACTCCTCCATTTGTACAGACAAGGAAATAGGTGCACAGAGAAAGTGGTTAAAACACACACCTAAGATCACACAGCTGCTAGGACTGGGGGTGTGTGGGTGCTGAGATGAGGTGTGGAATGGAGACAGCTCTGCTGGCAGAGTGAACAGCAGAAACAAAAGTTTGGAGATATGGGAACTAATCTGGTTTTTAAGGAGCAGGGCCTCACCTGGGGTGGGATGAGGTGAAAGCGTGGAGCCTCAAAAACTATCCTGTGCCTTGAGTACTTACTGGCCCACCTTTGAGTAAGGTATTTAACCTCCCTATGACCCACTTTCCTTAGTATCTACCTCATAGGGTTGTGGTGAGGATGAAATGAGCTCATTATTATAAAATACTTTGCCTGGTACATAGCAGGTGCTCAATAAATGTTAGGTCTTATCAGCGTTATTACCATCATCACTATCAGTAATGTATTCATTTACTGTAGTGAGGCAGAATATCTTGGTGTTTAACAGTGTGTATGAGGGACTGCGTTCTAGATTTAAAAAGCCCTGGGTTCAACAAGCACACAGTATTAAAAGGTGGGGGTCAGGGAAAGCCATGGACTGATCCACCACAAGGAAAAGAGGAGGAAAATAAAAGTGCACAGGCTGACCCTCCCGGAGGAGGGATTACAAAGCACTGGACTCATAGGAGGGCATGTGGGGGGTGTGTGTGAATACAAGCACGTGGGTAGTAGGAAGGTCAAGGAACAGATCCATTACAAAAGGCGGGGGGTGGGGGTGGGGTAAGGCGAACCTACTGGAGAAAAAGGGAGCAGAAAAGCTTATCGACTCCTGCACGTTAATGGAGGGAAAGAAAAGCCATCACACAGACTGATTAAGAGAGGGACAAGGCCATGGACTGGGCTACTGAAAATGGGGAGATGTGAAGCACTAAACTGACTCACTATTAAAAAGGAAGGGATAAGTCCAAGGGCTGGAGTGGCAGTCTACAAAACAAAAGAGGAGAGATAGGGCAATGGACCGATAACTAGGGGAACGTGAATACAAGCATGTAGAGTAATCCACTATAAAATGCGGGTGGGTGGGTGTCGTATCGGAAAGGTAAAATGGGGAGATGTGAAGCACTAAACTGACTCACTATTAAAAAGGAAGGGATAAGTCCAAGGGCTGGAGTGGCAGTCTACAAAACAAAAGAGGAGAGATAGGGCAATGGACCGATAACTAGGGGAACGTGAATACAAGCATGTAGAGTAATCCACTATAAAATGCGGGTGGGTGGGTGGGTAGATAAAGCCATGGACTGATGCACTGGTGAACTGGAGGAGACAGGAATACAAACTCATATGGACTCACAGTTAAAGAGGGGTGTGTGGCGCCGGGGGATACGACGCCATGGACTGATTCACTACAAGAAACAGGAGAAGTGGAATAAACAAGGCCACAGACAGGTCCCTTGAAAGTTGAGGCTAGCAGAAATACAATCAGACGCACCTAATATTAAGGGGACTGGACAATGCCACAGACTTGTTCCTTATGAGTAGGGTGGTGTGAGGTGGGGGCCCAAGACCATGGACGAGCCCACTGTAAGTTAGGGAGGGGAGAAATATAAGCACGCAGACCGATCCATCATACAACGGGAGGGGGAGGTTAGGCCACGGTCAGATCCATTACAAGGGGAGAAGGGAGGGAGCAAAGCTACACGTAGGTCCATCAGCCGTGGTGGTGGCAGTGGGGAGTCGAACACCAGCAGGCCACGGGCCAAGCCACATCCCCCGCGCGGGGGTGGGAAGGATACGTGGGGTCATGGACCGGGCCCTCCACCCTCCAGGCCCAGGGCTTACCTGTGCGTAGCGCAGTGGCGGCGTTGGCGGT